TGTTCCAATATCATTAATTAATCATCATGCTTGATTAATCATTATCTGATTCAATTCCATTCTCGTAAAGGCCCTGAAGCAGGCGTCGGGGAATCATCTGTGTGCATTCTATGTTTGCGAGAACATTCGCATGATGACGTCCGAAAGGAGCAGATCTGATAGACAGGACTGGGTAGTTTGTCAGAACACTACTCACACCATTATCGATATCTAGTCACACAACTAATACACATGCATATTAATCTCCTTCTTAACAGTTCAGAGAGGTGCGGGATAAGCTCCTACCATCGGACCGCATACTAGCACTTCAAGAGAAAATAGCCGGATTTTTTCTCGACCAGGTCATAAATCCCGAAGGAGAATACTATTACCCGCTACCGCCCCCATGAACCACTTGTCATCGTGCTCCGGAGGCACCAAGGCAACATATGTAGGAGAAATTGTATATGTATATACATGTGTATGTGTGAATAATGGTGTTGGTTGTGAGACATTCGATGATATATATATGCATAACGTACGAGAAAATCTATTTATATATATGCATAACGTGTACAATTTGTAGTATCGGGAAATACCAGCAAACAAAAAAAATGTAATAGAAAATAAAAAAAACATCCAAACATTTAGTACCGGTTGGTGTTACCAACCGGTACTAAAGCCCTACGCGCACCCGGGCCTGGCTCGTGCCACGTGTTCGCACTTTAGCGCCGGTTCGTGACGAACCAGTACTAAAGGGGGGGACCTTTAGTCCCCACTCTTTAGTGCCGGTTGTAGAACAGGCACTAAATGCCATTACGAACCGGCACTAAAGGCCGGTTCTGCACTAGTGCTCGCAGTCCGTTCCCGACAACGTGATGATGTCCATCGTGGAGTACGAGTCAGCGAAGGAGGCTTGGGATGCTATCCGTACCATGCGCATAGGCGATGATCTTGTGGTGCAGGCGCGCGTCAGCCACTTGACAAGGCGCTTCGAGCGGCTAACAATGGAAGATGGCGAAGAAGTTGGCGCGTTCGGGCGCCGACTCACCGCGCTTGTCGGAGAAATTCGAGAACTTGGCGAGAACTTGCAGGAGCACGCCGTTGTCAAGCGGCTGTTTGCGGCGGTCCCGGATCGCTTCCTGCCAATAATCGGGACAATCGAGCAATGGGGAGACGTCAAGAAGATGTCGGTCGCTGAGGCCATTCGGCGGCTGCGGGCGTTCGAGGAGAACGAGTCCGGGCGGCGCCAAGACCGCAGCGACGATGGCGAGAAGCTGATGCTGGTCTCGCGTGCAGAGCTGGAGGCTCTAATCCAGAAAGAAAAGAAGAAGGGAGAAGGGTCCAGCAGCGGCGGCAAGGACGGTGATGGGCGCGGTGGTGGCCGCGGCCGGGACGACGACAGGAAGAAGGTTCGTGGCAAGTTCGACAAGTCCAAGATTACCTGCTTTGAGTGCGGGGAGAAAGGACACTTCAAGTCCAAGTGTGAGGCATTGAAGAAAGAGAAGGCGCTCCTTGCAGCTGCCGACGTCGACTACGAGCCGGGGCTGCTGATGGCGGTGGCATGTGAGCTTGCACCAGGGGCGGAGGAGCAGGTCGCGGACGTCGTCAAGCCAAAAAGTATCAAAGTGAATGAGGTGCTTCGCCCCTTAGCTGCGGTGGCCAAGTTGGAGGCTGCCACGACCGAGGCTGAGCGGCTACGCGGTGAGTTAGCCGCTGCAAATGCAAAGATGCATGACATGTCCGATGAGTACAGGACACATGCAAAGTTGTTGGTGCACGCAAGTGAGGAGAAGGCCAAGCTGTTGGAGGTGCAGCGCGTGCTCTGCAAGGAGAATGGCGTACTCCATGCCCTCGTGAACAAGACCACGGCAGGAGCTATACAAGGAAGCACACGGACGACCTTGTCGGGACTGAACCCCAGGATCACACACGCACGCGAGGTGGAATAACACTAGGAACAGAACTCTGAACCCCAGCGAGAGAGAGTAGTTTTTGCGACACCCAACTGAGCGCGTCTTTTCTGTTTTCCCTTTTATTCCTTCTGATCCTAGCAAGCCGGCCTTGATCCGTTTTACCCGCGCCATCCCACGGACGAGATCGTGGCCAACGATTACATGGCTGACAAAAAAAATAACCACTAGTCCTACTCAGCCGCAGCACGAACACAGCGTGCCTCTGGCTTTATTTTCAGAAAGTTCAGAAACGAAACAGGTTCAGGTTCAGTAAGATTAGCACAATATTTCACCTCCTTAAACTTGATGACCTGAACCCACCTCCTGCATACCGATCTTGCCTTTCAATGACTGAAAACGAAGCCTAGCCAATGGCTTCGTCAAGATGTCTGCATGTTGCTCATCAGTTCTGACATGCTCCGCTTCTATCTTGCCCTCTTCAACGCAATTTCTGACAAAATGACAGCGCACGTCAATGTGTTTGTTCTCTTATAAAACACAGGATTATTGCATAACTGAATTGCTGACTGGTTATCTATACGGATTGTGAACTTCTCACCATCACAGCACAACAATTCCTTAATCAGCCTTGCCAACCATACCCCTTGACAGGCTGCTGCAGCAGCAGCCACATACTCGGCTTCACATGAAGATTGTGCCACAATTTTCTGTTTTCGAGATATCCAGGACACGGGGCAGTGACCGAAGTAGTACAACACCCCATTGGTACTTTTACGATCGTCGACATCGCCTCCATGATCACTGTCACAATATCCTAACAACTCTGGTTTGCTTGTGACCCTTTTATAGCTGCACCCAAGATTAACAGTCCCTTTTACATACCTGAGAATGTGTTTCACTGCTGTCATATGTTCCTTGGTAGGTCTCTCCATGAACCTGCTGACATAGCCGACAGAGAAGCTAAGATCAGGCCTTGTGTGCAGCAAATACCTCAGGCCTCCCACCACGCTTCGATATTCAATCGGGTCAACTTCCTCTGCCTTACTTTCTTTGCTTAGTTTCAGCCTAGGTTCCATTGGAGTGTGTGTTGGATGGTGGGCGGTGGATTCTTTTTTTTCCTCGATGGGGTGGGGAGGCACCTTATGAAAGATCACAAGAAAACCTGTTCATAACACAAGAAAAGTAGGTTTAGCATTTCCGCCACTTAAAATATAAGTACTGTAACAGGTGACCAAAAACACATAATTATATTATTTTGGTGTTTAGTCGAAAAATAACTGGGTATATGGTAGAAACATACCTTAGAAAGATGACTCGGTAATCAATCCACATAGCTCCCGTCAATTTTGACCGCTAGCTTGCTTGTTGCTAGCGATCTACATTTTTCTGATAACTCGTCGTTGCACTCGTCGATCACCAGTTCTTCCAGTGAAGGTGGGAGGCCCTCCTTCGGAAGCCCTGATATGCGATTACAATGTATGATCTCCAACGTCTTAAGGGAAGGGAGGCCCCTCAGCCCCGCATGAAGATGTACGAATTCCCAACAATACTTAAATTGGAGCTCTTGCAGGGACCTGAGGAGGAGAAGCAATCTCTCTTGCTCATCTATTAGTCTCGTTGCATCCAAATCAGTAAACTTTAAGCTTCGAAGGCAGGTGAGGCCCTTGCAGAATGACATGTTAAGGGGAGACAAGTCATCGATCTCGAGACTTTCCAGTGCGGGGAATAATTCATAGCTATGACTCAAAATCCCCTCAATTGGCTCATAATTCTCCACTGTGCTAAAGGAATAAAAGGCAGCAGACTCAACTATTTTCAAATGCTTGAGGTTCACGAGGGATCGTAAGCCCTGTAATGAGACGAGCGAATTACAATACCGAATTTCCAAACTTTCCAGCGATGTGCAGGAATGCAGCTGTAGAGATTCTAATCTGAAGTTATTAAATAATTCCAAAGACCTGAGGGTTCCAAGCGATTGCATGCCCTCCAAAGAGACGAGATGATTGCAAAATACAATTTCCAAATCTTCCAATGACCTACAGGAATCCAGCTGTAGATATTCCAAACTTTTGCTCTTTACTTTTAACTTTTTGAGGCAAGTGAGATTACCCACAAAGCAAGGCCGTAGCGTTATTTGGGAATAATCAGACCAAATAAGTTGTTCAAGTGATTGCGGGAAGAGACATCTTCCGTTCTCTTGGTCGTCTTCCTCTACCTCCTCCTCAAGCGAGGTAAATCCAGCAAAACTTTCCCTACTCCCGTCAAATATTAGATGAGGGCATCCATCAATTGTTATCTTTCTGAGATTCAACGGAATGTGCACGAGTCCATCTATAGCTGAGCTTGTTTGTGTGTCTTCTACATATCCTGATGACGCTCGGACTGAACTTCGTGATGCATCATATAGATATCCTGCTGACGAGGCCTCGCAAGCTGAGAGAAGGTTTGACTGAATCTTTCCTTCCTCTTCTATCTTTAACTGTTTCAACTGCGGGCAGTGATCTATATACAATTCCTTCAGAGTCAGTGAATGTTGCAGCATCAGAGATAGCCACTTCCCCGTTATTCCACATCCTTCAATACGAAGACTTTCGAGAGACGGGAGAGCAGCATCATTTGTAGTTAACATGTCTTCATGGGTCTGTTGTGGCACATCATCTGAAGAGAAAAGTTCCGTGCATTCCACTATTTTCAAACTCTTTAAAGAGATGAACTGACTTAATCCTTTGAATGAAATAGATGTTAGGTTTGTGCACCACGATATCTCCAAGTATTTGATATCCCTAAGATTATGGAATGCCAAAATTTTGTCATCGAGTGCCATCATCTCACGCGGAAGTTCATATTTGTAAAGCTTTAATGTTTCCATGGAAGATCCCTCCATCTCCATAATTGTTGAAACTGCCCTGATTAATAGTTCGCAAAATATGGCTGAAGGTGGAAGTGGGGTCTGTACTTGCAGATGAGGACAATTGTACACAATGAGTTTCCTCAGATTGGGAAGCCATGGCTTATGCTCAATTTCGTAGTTATGACCTTTCTGAAACAGGTCAAACACCTCAAGTGTATTGCAACTTTGGATCTCCAGCACCCTTAAACTAGACTTCATATCCCCATGGAAGTACAGGAACATATATGTAAATCTAGCATTCCATCTAAAACCAGCTCTTCCAATGGCGGAACCAACACTTCTCTTACTCTCTGCATGTTGCTCAACTTCAACCTTTTAAGAAACTGAAGCATTTCCAGAGATGGAAGTATTTTCCATTCTCCACAATCCTCGAGATGAAGCGTATGCAATGACTTAAAGAAAGCAATATCCAATACCTGAAGATGAAAAAACTTTCTCAAAACATGAGGCAAAGCCTTCTGCTCAGTATAACCATCATCAAGGTTTAGATACCGAAGACGTGTAGGATTTACCAAGCTACACAGGAAGGAATTAAAATCAGCAGATGTTGCAGATATTTGCAGTAGACGCAGATTCTGTGCCTTTTCAAATACATCTTGAAATGCTTTGAAGAAAAAGGAATCATATTCCCCAATTAGCACCAATGTTCTCAGTTTTCTCATTGATGTGACTATATTTTGCAATAAAAATTCGAACCTCTCACTGCGAGGTATGTTCCCAGTCTGATCATCCCACATATATACAGAAGTGGTTAATATAGAGAAATGGCGTACAGTTGGCAAAATTTCATTGCATTGCAAACCATCAAAAACTGCACACTTGGTTCTTGAAACTAGCCTTGCAAAATCATGCATTAGGCGACCAAGAGAGAACATATCTCTTTCAACCTGTTCAAACAAGCCCAGGTTCAGCAAGTCAGTCAGATAGCACCGTCCTATCTCCTCCAAACTCTTACTTGAATGATCATGCTTCACATATCCCTGAGAAATCCAAAGACGAACTAGATCCTCAGCAGGATATTCATAATCATAGGGGAATATAGAACAATATGACCAGCATTGCTGTACAGGGTATGGCAGCTCATCATATGAAAGCTTCAAAGAAGACATGATGCCACCAGTGTGTTGCAGGGATTTCCAATCTTCAGTCTTCAGAATGTTACTCCAATGATCGACGGTAAGATGATCTCTTAATAGTGCCCCGACAGTTTGTGCTGCTAATGGGTTCCCTTTTAACTTTTGTGCTATTTCTTGTCCTAAGTCACTTAGACTTGCTTGCGCTTCATAATTTTCGTCACCAAACGCACATGATTTAAACAATTGCCAAAAATGGTCCTTTCCCAAAGCACCTAAGTTAATTGGTCCAATTGTACCTCTACTCTTTGCAACGGACGGCTTTCTAGTTGTCATGATTATCATGTTGCCCATTGCATTGTCAGACTTGAAAGGAGCCAATAATCTCTTCCATTGGCAATCATCCATGTCTTCCCACACATCATCTAATATGAGTAGAACCCGCTTTGATTTAAAATGACGCTTCAAGACCTCCTGAAGCTTGGGAAAGCTGTATAGTCCATCATGTGATTCTTGGGAGACGCATTCTAACATCTCTCTTGTGAGTCTCATTTCATCAAAGTTGTTAAGCCAAATCCATATCTTGTGATCAAATTGACTTTCCAAAGCTGGATCATTATATACAAGCTGAGCGAGAGCTGTCTTCCCAACTCCTCCTATGCCTACAATAGGCAGAACAGTTACAGCTTCAGTTGATCTGTGTTTTTTTATCAACGTTTTGATGGATCCCCTCTCTTGAGCTCTCCCATACACTTTCCCTTGAACAAGAGCTGATGTTCTTCGGCGTGCATCTGAGATTGTAATATGACAGTGATGATTAGAACTTGCACCACCAGAGTCTGACCCAAGTATTTTGAGAAGCTTTGTGATTGCCTCTCGTTTGACTTGCAGCTGACTGGTGATGTCTTGTATCCTTTCGAAAAATGCATCCTTGTTCCAACCGTTTGGGTTAGCTGTGGTGATGTGTGTTAACTCCTGACTGGTTCTCAACCTTTTCCTGCTGGACGAATTACCAGCTGCCACAGGCGTAGGAATCATAGTAGCATCAGCAGTGCTGCAATGTGAAATAGGTCATGGATTAGCAGTGAGAACCTTAATATGCTCTTAATTAAGCAGATGTGTATTAAAAAAAGACTCACAAAAGTGTGTCGGTGCGATGCAGAAAAATAATCTATGTACCTTGAAGAAGGGTGAGTTGCTCCACGTTTCTTGCTACAACCTTTGCTATTGAGATGATTGCGCAAAACTGATGTCCCCTTTTTGGTTGTGCACATAAGCTCTGTTTTACAGTACTTACATTTTGCTTTGGCAGGACCTCCGTTTTGTTCAAACTCTGTGATGTCAAAGTGATTCCATTCCTTGGAACGTAACCTGCCATTGCCATTGCTGCTACTCTGTACATCATCAGTATTTTCTCTAGATCTCTCAACTTGCTGAGTTCCGTGTCCATCCATTTCGAGCAGCGTCTCTAAGGAAGAAGAAAAGGTGGACAGGATATTTAGCATAGTCGTGCTCCAAGGAAAAAACCAATTAGCAAGCAGTTGGACTAAAAAAATGCATTACGAAATTACCTGGTTGCAGATCCTGCTGTAGCCTGTAGTGGTCGAGCTCATCGACCGCATCGTCAGCTTCGTAGAGCAGCTCCTTGATATGAGCAAGAGATCGGGTCAGCGGCTTGTTTCCGGCCGCCCTCCCCTGCACAGCAGAAACCACCATCTCCACTGCCTCCACCTCACACTTGAGCTCCTCCACGTCGTTGCCAAGGCCAGCTTGGCGAATCCAGGAAACCAGCTTGCCGCCGGCTGGGAGATTTGCGAGGATTGTATCTGTAAGCCACCCAATCGCGGCCTCCAGCGTGGTGTCTTCCACCGCCTCCATCGCCTGGGAGATACCGGCGGAAGCAGTAGCAGGAAATGGAGAGAGCAGCAGTGAGAAGCAACGCGCAAGGAGATCAGTAGATCACTACCTGGAGGGTTGGTGGATTGTTCGACGGGCGTGATGGGGCTGCATTTTCTCTCCGGCCCGGTGATCTGCATCTGCATAGTGGGATACACGCTGGTACAAATTAACATTTGTTAATCCTATCGTGTTGTTAGTGGGCATCGATTCATGGCTGTAAAGCCTAAGCACAAGTGCCTAGGTAATGATGACTTTCACTATTAAACCCTAAACTAATAATACTCCCTCTGTTTCTAAATATTTATCTTTCTAGATATTTCAACAAGTGAGTACATACAAAGCAAAATCTGTGAATCTACACTCTAGAATATGTCTACATACATCCGTATGTTGTAATTCATTTGAAATGTCTAGAAAGACAAATATTTGGGAACGGAGGGAGTAGATGATTAGGCGTGCTTTGCCGCGCCTGGAAACATATAGACGTAGGTCTGACATCCTTTAGGAACTCAAAGTATATACCACAGCAGAACAGAGACATGGATCAGACCAAATTCTACCCATAGCTTGCTGACAGGTTTAGAACTGATGTATATTAAACATTACACAGGGAAATACTGCCGATTTTTTATGTATCAGTAGTGAGTAGTTTAGACCTACGTTGGTCACTGCGCAATTGGTAAATGGTTTGTACTAGTAGATAACAAAACAACTAGCGTACAAAGAGAGCATCAGCATAAGAAGATCCGCAAGCAGTCACATCTTATACAAGTCACTTGACACAACTGTATTACAAACTTCCTTCTTCCCTAGGCAATTAGCACTACTGGAATTTTCACGTACGCCGGGTGTAATGCTCTTCGCCGAGTGCTGAAACACAGACACTCGGCAAAGCAAGCTTTGCCAAGTGTCACTCTCGGCAAACCCACCTTCACGGCAAACTACACTCTTTGCCGTCACTGCCTCACGGCAAAGAGGCACCGCACGGCAAACCCTGCAGACACCGAGAGCCGCTCACGTCAAAGAGTAGCCACGTGGCATGCCCGTCCGCAACAGACGGCTCCGCCAGTTACTGTCTACTTTCCCGAGTGTGGCTCTCGGCAAAGCACATGCAACATCCTTTTTTTTTGCGTGTGTTCTTTCTAACTGACATGTGGTCCCACTGGTCACATTTATCAGTAAAAAATGACGATATGCTTGCCGAGAGTGGCTCTCGGCAATCCTTCATGGGAGCTGACAGTTTACATAGCTTTGTCGAGAGCTAGGCTCGGCAATGCTCTCCTTCTTTTCCGAGAGCTTCTCTCGGAAAAGTTGTGGCACAACAGTAGTGTCCCAGACGACCATATTTCCGAGAGTTGCTCTCGGTAGTCTGCCTTTTTCCGAGTGTAGCTCTCGGAAATCTTTCCCATCCATTCTGATGTCAATCTATTTCTTTTCTGATCCCTGCAGATAAAAACCACTACTGTGCATTTTGAGCTAGTCCACACATATATAGGCATAATTTGATCATATATAGGCATAATTTGATCTAGTCCACATATATATGCATAATTAGGGATAGTCCACATATTGTCACACACAAGTCGAATGTATTATCCTAGTAGACATCACACACAAGTCGCAAATTCATACATATTGTCACTACTTGCAAAACACGTGCACGTCACAATAGAAGTACACTTGTTCATATATAGATCATCTTGAGGAGGAGAGGCCATCGGGTTAACATTTCGGAGGAGGAGGGGCATCACTTGCACTGCTTCGAGATTGCATAAGAACCTATAAGAGTAGAGTCATGTGAGGGTGGTTCGTCCCTATGTAATGAATCTTCTACTCTAGTTTAGATAATGTTCTACCTGTAGTTGATCCTCAAGCATCTTCAACCTATTGTTAGTGTCTTCCCGTTCCTTTTCTTTGGACTCCTCCTCAGACTTCTGCCTTTGCTCCTCTTCAACAGCCTGCTGCGCCATTAAATCCTGTAACATGGCATTAGGCTCATATAGGTTGGAACGGTACTATTTCGAGGCATGGACATAAATAAAAGGTTAGGATGCTAAACTTGAGACGCGCTATCTCACGTGATACGGCGGTTGGGCGACTCCGTATGGACAGAGTTGAGCTGGTGCTCGACGCGCGTATCTCGTGCAGCTTGCGGTGCCCGGAGGTGGCGATCGCCCCGTTGCAAAGGAGGTGGCGGCCATGGCCCTTCCCCTCGCCAGCAATGATGAGAAGCTCAGGGTCAAGGGGCTTGGACGTAGGTTCGGCTTCCTGCCCGTGCACCTCCTGGAAGACCTCTTTGAAGGTCCCCCACTTCTCCTCCGCCGACTCGCTGCAGAACTCGGTGCCATCCTTCCCCTTGTGGCCTTCTTTCCAGGCTTCTAGGATGTGGACCGGTCGACCAACCTTCGCCTCCTGCAAAATTAACCATCAAGTTGAATGAACCAAGATGCACCGTGCGAAAAAGTTAACATCTTAATCCACATACCATGTGTTGCTTGAGAGCGGTTAGGTTCCGGCTCCCCTGGACATGAGCCGGGCCTGGCATTTTGGCTCGTTTGTTTCTCTTCTCCACATGCTGCGACTGCCATGCTGGGTCACACCACATGTCAACCAGGGCCTCCCAACAATCGTCCTTCATCCAGGGTTCCTTCACCTAGTCAGACAAAATCGAATAATTGAGGAACAAGAGGGATGAATCAAAGTACTAGCAACTGATGTAGTCACTTACCACTGACAGGTATTCTTCTCGTGACAAGTTGGTCTGGCAAGCAGTCTTCCTTGTCATCTTCTCTCCCTTCGAGTCCAGCGGCCGACACTGCATCACGGCTTTGTACCGCAGCGTGTGCTTGGTGTTAGAGAGTATCTTTCGGGCAGATTTCACGATGCCTTTGATCGCCTTCTGCTTATCACCATCCACGCAAGAAATTGTTTGCTACAAGAAAGAATATGGCATCTTCTCACCAGCCACGCAAGCAAGGATTTGGATATGAAAAAATACAGTGTTCGGAGCTAAGATACTTACAAAAAAAGCATTGATGACCCGAGTGGCCATGGTGACATCATGCTCATCCTTGTTCTGTACGTAATGCTCCCAGGTTAAACCTGGCAACGGCGGATCGTCATCACCCGGCTTGGACAATCCAGGGAAGTGCTTCCTCAAGAGGGAGCCGATGACGTGGTTCGGCGGGCGTGCCCCCTTAGGTTGTGTCGGGATAAATTCCCACTGACTGCATGATATAAAAGAAAAGCATATGTGAATGTCAAAGTTGTGGCATCCAAAATATGATGCAAATGAAATGCTTGCTTACCCCTCTCCTGTCGGGCAAATGACAGGACGGTTGCTGGCAGCAGTTTGTTCCGGGACCTTCCCCGGACCATGCCCGGATTTCTTCCTCTTGGAAATGTTGCTCGAGGTAGACCCCGAGCCGTCTGAGGCCTCCATGTCGCCCGACTCGGTGGCAAGAGGATCTAGGTCCACTCCGACATCGCCATCCGATGATGACGATGCCTCGGTCGTGGCCTGATGGGAGGCGGACGACTCGGCCCTACCAATCGGGACTCTCCGGTACTTATTACAAGTGCACTCATCAGAATTTGAAAAACAAAATATATATGGTTACTCTCAGTTCCAAAGCAAAATCTTCCTAATCTAAGTGTCATATCATATATGGCAAAAAATAACACAAATAGCTCAATCAACTCTCAGATATATATAGTTCCATTTACTAATGCCATAGCACTGACAAGGAATTTTTTTTGAAAAGAAAGGGGTTGCCCCCCTGCCCCAACTTTTTATTAAAAAAGCAAAGGCAACCAAAGATCAGAGTTCACCACTGACAAGGAAATAAGCACAAGTATATAGTTTCATTGATCTACTCTAGTATTTATCTAAAAAAAGCACTCCAATCAAGCATATTCTACATACCTGAGGGCATTATGCATATCTAAGGAACAACAATATGCATCAGGCGTATTCTACATATCTAAAAAAAGCACTCCAATCAAGCAATAGGACATGCATCAATTATAGTCTGGACTACTCTAGGCATTACTAAACAGGACCATCTTCATCTACTACTTTTAATCACATTTGTTCATATTTCATACATTTGTGCAAAATATTCTACATACCTGAGGGCATCTCCAGCTGCCGCGCTACCGGAGAAGCTCTGCTGCGTCGGCCGTCCTTGGGCCGCATCGAAGAACCGCCGCGTCTGTTGCCGGCCATGAAGCTTGGGGGAGGTGGCCGTAGTTGGGGACGGTGGATGAGGGGGTGGCGGTGGCCGCAGTGGGGAGCGGTGGAGGAGGGGTGGCGGCCGCAGTTGGTGGCGGTGGAGGGCAGTGGAGGAGGGAATGGCGCCGGAGGAGGGGG